AAATGCTTCTAGGGCATTCCTACCATAGAAAAACGGGAAATGTCAATGCTATCCATGCATTCTGCAATTTGAAATACACTGATAAATTACTTGATACTGAGCAGTAGAGAGAGGTTTTTGTTTTGTTTTGTTTTAGAAGAGGTTCACCTTTTCTCTTTTAGTATTATTTCTTTGTTAGAGAAGCTGATTTTATGTTTCTGAGAGTTTTTTTTCTCCCTTTCTCTGCCTTGAAGTACAGCTCAGTGGAAATTGGCTTGTTTTGCCTGCTCTCTTCTTCTGAGGGTTAAGAGATTCAGAAACTTTCTTGTTTGTTCTACCTAACCAGGAGATCCAAAATACACTAGCAAGACCATTGTCCAAGAGAGCCCTGGGAATTTTTATTGCTCTGTCCAATCTTCTTCAAAGTGCTTTAGTATAGTAGTATATGATTGTAATGGGATATTATTGCACTATAAGAAACAATGAGCAGAATGATTTTCAGAAAAACCCGGGCAGACTTACATGAACTGACAGAGCGAAGTGAGCAGAACCAGGAGAACACTGTACAGAGTAACAGCAATATTACATTATGAGCAACTGTGAATGACTTAGCTATGCTCAGCAATGCAATGATCCAAGACAATTCCAAAGGACTCATGATTAAAAATGCTATTCACCTCCCAAAAAAAGAACCGATGGCATCTGAATATAGATCAAATCATATTATTTTTCACTTTTTCTTTATTTCTTCTGTTCTTTCCTTTTTTCTTTTAGTTCAAGTTTTCTTCCACCAAATGACTAATATGGAAATGTTTTACATGATTGCACATATATAACCTAAATAAGATTGCTTACTGTTTCGGGGATTGGGAAGGGAAGACAAAGAATAGAATTTGGAACTCAAAACTTTAAAAAAAAATGTTAAAAGACGTTTTTACATGTAATTGAGGGATTTTTTTTTTTTTAGCTTTAAAAAGTGCTTTCACCATAAGATACAGTTTCTACTTCTGTCCCATATAGTCTCTCTCTAGGAAAGTATCATTCCCTCTTACTAGCCTGTTCTCTTTTCTGTGTATATGTCTTATCTACCAGAAAGAAATAGAGAAAAAAAATATTTTTATTCTTCTTGGAGTCAAGATTAAGAGATGCAATACTGCAATTAGGTAGATTCAGAACTGTTCAGATGTCCAGACCCAAAGATTATGCAATAACAGCTTTATGATAACTTGAAAGGAGAGCTCTAGGATCTGTGCTTGACCCTGTGCTGTTTAATGTTTTTGTTAATGACCCAGATAAAGGCATAGATTATAATCATATTAAAGTCACAGATGACACAAAGCTATGGAAGACAGATAACACGTTAGGCGAGTCAGGACTGAAAAAGAATATTAACATATACATATAAGTTTAAAACTTTTAAGTTTATACATACAAACTTACACATATAAGTGGTTTTTTCTTTTTTAAATCAACTTCCCAAGTGGGGTTGGTAGAATTAGACAGCAGCTAATTGCAAAAAGATCTGAGAAGGTTAATGTGTGTGGTAAAGCAGTTAATAAAGCCAATGTGATCATACACCACATTAAAAGAGGCATTGTGTCCAAAATGGTGTCTTCATCCTTATTAGAATACATCTGAAGTATGATATTTGGTTTTGGATAGCTCATATTAGGAAATACATTGACAAGTTGGAGAATGTCTAAAGAAAGGCATCCAAGACGACAAAAGACCTGGACATCATTCCTATCATGTGAAGATCATTTTAAGGCACTGGAAATATTTATACAATAGAAGAGAAGACACAGTGGACACCTTATCACTATTTTAGAATGCCTGAATAATCATAATGTGAAAGAAAGACTAGACTAGTTCAGCTTGGCCCCAAAGGGCAAGGTAAAACTTCCTAGTAACTAGAACTATCCAAAAGTGGGTCAAGCTGTGTTAAGAGATAGTGACTTCTTTCTTGCTGGAGGTCTCCAAACAATGGCTGGATGATTACTTTGGGGGTATATTCTTATTCAGATAAGAGCTACAACAGATGATTTCTAAAGTCCCTTCCAACTCTGAATGAAATTCTATGAATCCAAAATGCAAGATTCATGTGATTTTAGCAAGGTGGGCATTCCAGTTCTTTTCATCAACAGAGATGACAACCCTGCACATACTTTAAAATACAGTCTTCGTCAATTTCTATACTCAAAGAAATTCATCATTTTGTGGTTAACTTTGTGGTGATTACCCTCCACAAACTTAGTTAAGAAGGGGTTTGGACAACAGATATGGTTTATCGCTAGGCTTGTATTCTGAGACTTTCTAGTTTGACAAGACTAACCACAGTTTGCTTTCCATGTACATCACTGCCTGCTAAAATACAAGGATCACTTCCACTTGATAATGAGTATAAGAACTATGGAAGGGAAATCATAGCATATGCAAAATGGAAAAAATATATAGAAAAGACAAATTAAAATTATGGAACATATTTGTTAATTTTTTCATTGAGATGAAGGCAATGTGCAACTAGTTTAATCAAGGAACAAATGAGAGAAAAAAAAGAAAAGAAAAGATGACCTACTAAGTACAATATCTTCAAGGAATAAATGTCACCATCTCAATAGCCCACATGCCTATGGTTTCTTTCCTTTACTGTTCCTCAAAGTCAGGCATGGCCTGAGGCAATATTCAGCTAGTAGTGAGATATTTTTCTGTCAGACAAAAGTATCACTGAGGCCCACTGGGTTATGGTTCCTCAAATTAGCTGTAAGAAAAACTTATAAGTTTATTTATAAATGAATCACTGCTTAAGCCCTATTCTAGAAAATGTACATTCCTTAATCGAAGGAAGAATTGTTTTGGTTTTACCTTTTTATCTTCAATACCCAGCATAGTGCCTGACACATCGTTAGTGCTTAATAAATGTTTGTTGATTATCACTATGGTGTGGAGATGACCAAGGGTTTGTTTGAAGGTCCACACCAAAGAAGTACGCATTTTGGGCCCAGGGGTGGACTATAGGTCTATGATCCAAGGACTAGCCTCTCATTCTAGCGCCTTTTCTCTATTAAATCCTAGAGAGTTTAATTTACAGATCTTTCAAAATGTGGAACAATTTTATTCGGTTATCTCTCGTCTTAATCTTCTCATCACTCATTTCTTATTTATTCTTAACATTCCTTTCTCTTGTCTCGTCACTGCCTTCTTATAATCCTCCTTGTCTTATCTTGCCCCATTCTTACTGCTCCTTCTTTACCCCACACTCTTCCAACATTTTTCTCCTATCTCTACATTTATTTGCCTGCAAGGATGACTCTGGCCACATAATTTCTCATCAATGCATAGACGAGATGGAATCTATAATTATAAAATCTTCACTGAAGAAGGGGAAAGTTATATCAACCACCCTTAGTGCTGGCCAATAACTCTTCAACTAAGGATGAGGTGTATTCATTAGATGCTTAAGAGCTGTGGCCCAGCTGTCACTTTTCTTGTGATGCCTCTAGGATATCAGACTATCAAGGCTCTCCGGCAATTTCGCTCAATTCAACAAGAGTTTGTGGAGTACCTACTATGTGTCAGATACCGTGATAAGCAATGCTCCTGCAATGACAAATAGCACCTATTCTTAAAGAGTTTATGTTCTATTTGGGTACTCATGAAAAAAAATGTAAATACAAGAACATCTCATGAAGGGGACTGAACTAAGAAAGAGAAAAGGCAGAGAGTGCAAGAGCAACAGAGACACAGAAAGAGAGAGAGACAAAGGGAAGGAGGGAAAGAGGGACGGAGGTGGGGAGACGGGAAAGGTGAAGGACAGAAGGAAAAAGGACAGAGACAGAGTATGTGTCTTGGCAGAACTGAAGCACTTTTGGGTCATGTCAGATGAGCTTTCAAGTTACATTTTCCTAGCTACCTCTCTCATCCCCTTAACCCAAGCCCTAAGCATCTGAGCGCTCAGAGCTAAAACATTTAGGTTAGAAAAAAATGCTTTAAAATGTCTGCTTAATCTATTTCAGCACTTTGTTCTGGGGAGGGGAAGGGTTCATCCTTTTCCAAATGAGGAAACAGAGGCCCAAAGAGGTGAAATGCTTTGCCCAAGGTCATAAAGCCACATGGCTAGTAAGTAGCGGAGACAGGATTTGAACCAAATTCTTTGACTCCAAAGTTTTTTCCATTGTACCAAGCCACCTCTCAATAAGAGGTCAGACAAATATGCCAGAGTCCTAGTGAAGGTAGACTTAAAAATAAAATTACATTTAATTGAAAAAGCTAGAATTAAGACCATCTGGTTTCTTTTGAACATGTAAGATTCTTTTTCCTGGACCTTGGTTTATTTCACTGGTGTTGGGAGATTTCAGTGAGGAAACCCTCTCTACCAATACAAATTAACAGTGTGCTGCTCCTTACAGTATTAGGAAGTGGCCTGGAGTCATTGGTAAGTTAAGTGACTTGCTCAGGGTAACACAGACAGGAAGTCTGAGGGAAACTTGAACCTAGGTTATTCCAACTCATCAGCTAGCCTTCTACCCACCATGCTATGCTGCCTCTTATATTGAAAGAATGGAAATGAAGACTAATGGTTTTAAAATATGGTGGGAGAAATGGATATTTTATTTTAAAATGTGAACATATTATTAACAAAATGTTGTAATTAATATTAAATGTATTGAAATTATTTAATTATTAAATGTTATGATTGTTTGAGGGGTGGGAAACTCCTTGCTTAATCAATTGTAAATTCTAGAAATTCCAGAGAGCATGGTGAAGTGGCTATACCTACTGAATGAGAATAGGATTTGAGCCTAGGAAGGAAAAAAACTTTATTTTCTGTCTCAAATCATACCTTATTGTAATTTTAAAAACACTGAACTTTACCAATTATTGCAATCCTAGCTGATAAACTAGTTTCAGAAATTTTCTCTTTGCACTTTCATGCAATTAAAGATAGCATCAAAAATGAAATATTTCCCTATAAGAAATGAGATCTCTGAATAAAGTTATTGTGAGGCCCATTGCCATCTTACTTGACTAGAAAGTTTAGAAGCTTCCATTGCATGTTCAAAATCTGGCCTTCCCATCACAGTTGGTTCTTTATTCATTTCTCCTTTTCCTTTTTTGTATTCAGCCTAAAATGAATGAACAGAAGAATTAGGATCATTTCTCTATACCAGAGAAAAATTGTGTTAGTGCTAACCCTTTCTACCAAAAAAGAAAAACCACAACTTGACACTAAACGGTAACTGTTAGAATAGGAATGGGTTTTTCTTTAAAAACAAAACAACAGAAAATAAAACATAATGGCTATTAAAATAGTTATTAAAATTAATTCAATTTTAAGTCACCAAGTTCAGTAATCCTTTTAGCATGTTATGCATCTAATGACTGTGTTTATAAAAGGTGGAAAATTACGGTAATTATCAGGATGAATAAACTTTTGTGTTGGCAGGAAACCTATAGGGCTATATCCATTCCCAGAAACTGGTTTGGTTGAAGTGGTTAGACAGATGAACTCAGTTAAATGATCACTGTTCTCATAGGGGTGGGAAGGAGGAGAAATTTGGAGAAGTAGGCCTGTCAACAGCAAATGATTTTTTTTCACCACTTAATCAGTTGTTTAGAAAAGGTGAAAGTAATTGAGCAAAGAAAAACTTCTTTAAAACAGAAGAATTTTACCCAGGACTTGAAGGAGGGTGAAAGTGTTCTGAAAACTAGAGGAAGAAAAGGTAGAATCAACATAACTAAAGGTGTAGAATCTATTTCAGTGAAGAATTATTTGAGTCAACACTGTAGATTCAGCTTGAACACCAAGAAAAGGAGTGTGGCTATAATCTCTACCAATTGTATATTTCCTTCCCTGATGCTCTAGCTGAGCAGTAGACATGGAAAGTTTTGCACTAAAAACTGATCAATATACAAAACCAGATGGTCAATTGTGGCCCTAAAATACACTTTGGAACCCGAATAATCCAGGTAAGTAGTCAAAACTGAACAAGTTAACCAGCTAATTTCCAAATGGCTATTCCTTATTATTAAAATTACTAAAATATCCCTAAAACAATTACTAAAATATTACTAAAGTATTACTAAAATAGGAACAGAATTTCTAGGATATACAGGGAAAATTATTTCAGCTTTAGAATGACAAAAGGTGAATTACATTGCTAATGATCTTGGAGACTTGGGTTGCCATCTTGATGTCTGGTCTGTCAATCCCCGCATTGTATTTATGATTATCCTCTGCATCCTTCCTATAAGAAACCTGATTAAGACAAAATTTCATTAATAAATATATTCATACATCACCATCACCATCATAACTAACATTTATATAGTGCTTTACGGTTTGAAAAATGCTTTCCTCACAACCACCCCATAGAGTAGGTATTACAAGTAGTATTATGCTATTTTTACAAATAAGGAAACTGAGGCTTTGAAAGTTATAAATGACTTGCCAAAGCTCATATTCCATCTAAGAGCTAGCATTCAAACTCAGGTTCTCAGATTCCAAGTCTAGCGTTTTCTGTTAAGTATTTACATAACAATACTTTGGCAATGAATGCATAGAGGTTAATATTTTGCTAATAGAGTATCCATCTCAGCTCATTTTTGCTTTAGGTGAATTATTTATTGGACTATATCAGTTTGCTCAAAGGGTCAGTCATTTTCTTAAAATGACTTTTGTACTGCATTTAGAACACTCCTGCATCCAGGCACCGCCATTAAGGAAATCGTTACAAAACCAACTAACTACAGCGAGCACATGAACAGGTATGGGCTGGTGTGTGAGTGAGTGAGTGAGTGTGAGTGTGTGTACATGGGGCAGCTAGGTAGCATAATGGATAAAGTGCCAGGCCTGGAGTCGGGAAGACTCATCTTCCTGGGTTCGAATCTGGCCTCAGACACTTATTAAGTTGTGTGACCCTGAGTAAGTCACATAACCCTCTTTGCCTCAGTTTCCTCATCTGTTAAATGATTGGAAGAAGGAGATAGTAAACCACTCCAGTATCTCTGCCAAGAAAACCTCCAATGGGGTCACAGAGAGTGGGACATAACTGAAAAACGACAGCAACAAATTTTAAAAGGTTTTAAATATAGTCCTAGCAACAGAATGTGTCTCCCATCAGAGACTTAGCCTGTATAGTTTCATCACTAGAAGGTTGGCCACTATGTGAAGGGTTTTAGCTACAGCAATTCTGTAAGACTGCCCACTAAGAGACAGGGGATGCTTACCTGCTTCAAGGTTGGGATAACAATAGCATTTCTAGAGCACTTTAAGGATTACAAAATGCTTTGCATATTGATCTTCACAAAAACCCTGGGAGGTAGATGCTATTAGTATCCCCATTTTATAGATGAAGAAACTGAGGCTGAGAGAGAAAGTGACTTGTCCAGGGTCAAAGAGCTAGTAAGTGTCTAAGGAAGGATTTGAACCCAGGTCTTCCTGACTGCAAGTCTGGCATTCTACCCGCTACACTACCTACCCACATAGTCGGTTAGATAGCAGTAACCACAACTATGAAATTATGGAAAATTTTAATGTAAAAGTAGTAGAATGAGTAACCACCATCAACTGGTGAAAAAAGATAAAAAAATCCTTCTTCATGTTTCAAAGCATAGCATTTGGCACACAGCAAGAAGGATTAATGAGGCCCCAGAGAAAGATGCTAGTTTCTCTAATTGACAGAATTACTTCCTAGACAACATCCATGCAACTATTTGTCTGTCCCCTTTAGCGAGCTCATGATTACATTGTTGAAAAACAATCATATTTCTCTTTTGCCTTTCAAAACCAAAGGCAAAAGGATAAGGAATTGAAACATAATATTCAAATCAATTTTAATTTAACTTCCTCTCTCTCCTTCCATTCTCTGCTTTATCTTCCTCTGGCTTCGGGATGAGGAATGCATTTGTGGAATACAAGGAATTCAGTAGATGTTTTCCTTCTCAAGTTTTAAGAGTGACTTAAGTAGTACAGGTATTACTTTCTACAAGTTTGATAAAATTCACCTGTAAATCCACCATGACTAGGGTTTCCCCTCTCTATGGCAGTTTCTTTACAACTAATTCAATATTTGAATTGAGGTGTCTATTTCATGTCCTGTTCACTCTGGTTCATTCCTTATAAGGATGACTTTTGTCATACAAGTTCTTAACCTGGGGTCCCTGAAGTTGGATGGGGAGGAATTACATCTTTGTTTTCACTAATTAAATTTAGCACTTCTTTCATTTAGGAAGACAGGCAACATACATCATTCTGAGAAGGGGTCCATGGACTTTGCCAGAATTCCAATGGGTTACATGACACACACAAAGAGATTAAGAACCTACATCTTAAGACTAAATATATTTTTATTACTCTTTTTTTAAGGTAATTTGGGTTAAATGACTTGCCCAGGGTCACACTGCTAGTAAGTGTCAAGTGTTTGGTCTGAGGTCACATTTGAACTCAGGTCCTCCTGACTCCAGGGCCAGTGCTCTATCCACTGCACCACTTAGCTGCCCCACTAAATGCATTTTTTAAAGAACTCATTTAATCATGGATCTGGTCCAAGAATTTCCTTTCAGTACAATTTAAGTGAGAATCTTTTCTTTCAATGTTCTATTGTTAACATTGAGACATTTACCTGTTCCAGTCTCATACACACAGAATAATAAAATTACTAGATGGGAAAATGAACTAGAAAATACATTTTCTTTGTGTGGCGGAACTCAAACTTCTAGTCATTTGAAACCAGGCCACTTTAGAGTGCAAAGAGCTAATAGCAAAGATGATGACAGTCTCAGCCTATAGTGAGTCAAACTTAGGCTGTGTAAATGACCGATTCTCAGGTGAAAGCTGATCCAAAATTATTACCCACTTCCCAAACTAAATGCTTCCAGATTATTACGTTCATAGGAAAATTGTAGGTTGGGGGAAAGGCCATTTTGTTGGACAAAAAAGGAGGGAGAGAATGGAAACCCTTATGTTGTGAAATCTATGCTTTCTATAGGCTTATCTAATGATATGCTATTTGGTCTAATGACCACATAAAGAGAGGTGAACACCACAAACGCACCAGGAACATGGATTGTGAACAGCGCCCTGCCATCCATGTAAATCACAAATTAAAGGCCAGCACTTGTGGTTCGAAACAGATATTAAGACTGAAGTGAAGGCTACATTCAAACCCTAGGAAAAACCACAGAGTCTCAGAAGAAGGAGGTGAAGAAAGTGTAGTTACTCACTATTTCCACATGCCACTAGCACGGTTCATGGAAATGAAGGCTCATCACTAGTTTCGTCAAAAGCATAGGATAATGACAACCTTTTATTTTTCACCCTTTGCAGTGATGTCAGAAGGCAGGTCTACAGTAATATGTTTCTGCAAGTGAATTATTTGTCTTCCCACTCTGCACCCCCCCTTGCCACCATAACCCAGAGCACCTATTACTTACATTGGAGAGAAAGTCATCTAACATTTTACAAATGTCTGCAGTATGTATTTGTTCCATCCTGAGGCCTGTCATACTCCAGTGAGAATAAAAATGTTAGGCAGTAGAATGGTAGTTTGTCAGAGGTAAGCCAAGAAAAGAAAAAATATGTTTCCTATTTTCTCAAGTCACTTCAATGCTTTGATACTGACCCTTCCCACTGGGACAACTGGCTGGCCTCTTTTACACAGATGCTATCTTATCCTGTCTAGTGTAATGCTTTTTATGGCATTAGGTTTTTAATGTACTGGAAAGGGAGAAGCGAGAAAGTGAAAGCATTAGAAAGCTCCCAAAGACCAATAAGTCAGAGTAACATATGCAAGCAAAGGATTCAGTGGTTTGGGGTTGAATTTTCCATGGCTTTATTTAATGACGGTAATCATGTATAGCTGATGTTGACCTGCTGGTACAAGATGACAAAGGAAGACACGATGACCAGATATCCTTTGGGTAGATGGCAGTCACACTTCATTGGCCAGCACCTTCCCTTGCGCCTTGTCTAACAACAACAACAAAAAGGTAGCGAAAACTTTCAAAAGCTCTCAAAGCACCTTAAAGTTGCGCATACAAATAAAGTGAGTTCTAAATGTGACTAAGAGCATCAGAAAAGAGAAAAGCAGTCTTAAATATTTGGAAAATTCAAAACAAAGGAAGGGAATAGGTTAAAAGATGATCACTTTTTAAAAAGGAGAAAATAAATTTGGCCCTCTGCTCTTCAGAATGAATGAGGAATACATTTGCTCTGTAGCTTCTTCAGTATTGAACCGAGGAAGTATCCGTCAGTCCAGACAGCACACTTTTATTGAGTGGCATTAGATATAAGAAGTCTCCTTGAAAATGATCAATTCAAATGAATTTAGTAAATTATTAACCATCTTCCAGTTACACTCTATCAAGTTGCTATAATACTTTAATAAAATGGTCAACCAAAGAAGAGAGATTTTCCTGTATTACATCCAAAAGACCTTTTTTTCCCCATAAGGAAGAAAAAGGTAACAACAACTGTATCACATAATGTCTGGTTCTGTCTCCTCTCCAATCCATCCTCTGAATAGATGCCAAACTGAAATTTCGAAAGGATAGAAGTCATGTCTTTTAAGTGTCACTCTCATGTTTACTAAGAAGCTTCTGCGACTCTGTTGGCTCTTGGATAAGATACACATTCTTCTGTTTAGCATTTAAGCTCATCATAGTGTGACTCCAACCTGTCTGTCTAGACTGTCTCCCATCATGGAGCCATTTTAACCAAACTAGTCTGCTTTCCTGATTATTTTACAACATATCACCCACCTCCACATATTTAGAAGGTCTAGATGCCTCTCCCTCCACACCTTCCTCACTTGGAATTCCCAGATTCCTTCAAAGTTCATTTCCATTGCTATCCCTAATTCAAGACCCTTGACAAGTATTCCCCCTGAGTGTTAGTAATCTCTAGCTCTCCCTAAAAATACTTTTCATTTACTTTGTGTATGTTTTGGAATTGTTTTTGTCTATGTAATCATGTCCTAAACCTTCTCCCCAGAAAATAAAGTCCTTACAAGTAGAGATTGTTTTATATTTGTATTCCTAGTGACTAGCATAGTGCCTGGCCCATAGTGAATGAATGAATAAAGGAGAAAAGGAAGAGAAGGGAATAATCATGTATGTAGTGCCTATGAGCCAATTATACTACAAGCTTTTTACAAATATTATCTCATTTGAATCTCACAGCAACCCTGCAAGATAGGTGCTATTATTATCTTCATTTTTACCGATGAGGAAATTGAAGCAAACAGAAGTTAAATGACT